TGGATTCCTTAGCTAAAATTTTCTTCCCTTCATTAAACTGACCTGACAAATTATTTTTGCTTTCTATTACAACAGTCAATATTAAGAAATTCTCTTGGGCACAATTTATACCAAAACGTGATGGCAACATACATCTCTATAGTTTATATACACTCTGTTCCCTTCTCATCCTTCTACTCCACAAGTTTTCATTTTGAACAAGACTTAATCTGATGGACAAGTTGTGGCGTAATTCAGAAATAGGAAGTAATCTTTAAAAATCAGCTTTTCAAATTTTGCGAACTCATGACTTTTCTCCAATCAGATTTCAAAATAAAATTTGACAGGTGAAGAGAAGAGTGCGATGGTATCACCTAAGTCAGTGATCAAACTGAGGTCCACAAAAACTTTCCAAGGGGTAGATGTGCAAGCAAGGATATTTGGGTTTTTTTTTTGTTTTTTTTTTTAAATTTTATTGTGATTTGCGCTCGGAAGGAAGGATGGGCAATCTAACTCCATAGTGATACTGCCTTAGAAACCCAAGGAACGGTCGCTATGAGTCGGGTCCAACTCAATGGCACATAACAACAACATTGTGATTTGGGTGAAAGTTTACAAAGCAAATCCATCTTCCATACAGCAGTTCATATACACTGTCTCATAACATTGACTGCAGCCTCCCACAATGCAACAGCTCTCCTCCCTCTTCCTCCTCACAGCCACCTCTTCCCTGTGTCCTTCCCTCCCATGCAATCCCGCCCCCAAGTTGTCTCTCTATACATACACTGCCCTTCTATTATAAGCAAGGATAGTTTTAAAGGTAAATTCCAAATCGTTCCTCAACTTCCAATTGTGCTTTTTCCTAACATTTCTCCCTTTCACAACTTCCCTTTTCACAACTGGTCAGAGTTTAAGAAAGTGAAACATTACTTTTTTTCTTTTTCTAAGTCAGAACTTTTGCACTTCTTTGCTCTCAACAATACTGAAGGAAGACCTAATGAATTTTCAGCTGATGGATCTTTTAAAAAATTTTCATGATAACTCATCATGTGATTTTGACATTCAATTCCCTATTAATTTCAAAGAATGGGGTCTCAATCCTGAGCCTGAGCCATTGGAGGAAAAAAAAAAAAGTAATATTCAGCTACAAGTACATAAACTTGTAAAGGGAAAACATGCCTCATCTTTTAACCAAAGACAAACTCACTGCCGTAGAGTCTATTCCAACTCATAGCAACCCCATTGTGTTTCCAAGGCAGTAAATCTCTGTGGAAGTAGATCATCCATCCCATCTTCCTTCCACAGAGCAGCTAGTGGGTCTGAACCACCAACTTTCTCGTTAACAGTCAAATGCCTTGGGCACTGCGTCATTAAGAGTATGTTTTAAAAAAAAATTACTATTAATGTATAATAAGTCAAAAATTGTGCATGTTTGTCATTTCTGGATCAATTTAAAATTATTAACTGTAACAATAACTTATTCAAGAAGAAACATTTTTACACTTAAAGCCTTAGAATTATTTTTTTTTTAAAGTTTCCATGCTAATGTATACAAATATTTTTGTTACAGAGAAGTATGACAAGGTGACTGTGGTGGTTAACATTTGCGCATCAACTTGGCTAGGCCTGGTTGAGTGGCTGGGCAAGCTGAATGTAGTTATTCCCCATGGTGAAACTGGTAATTAACTCCATGGTGGAATCTATTGGAGCAGCTGAGTAGCTGCTTTGGGGATGTGGTCTGCTTCCTGTATATAAGAAACAGCTTCGGGAATGGTATTTAGCTTATGGCACGCTTGAACCCTGCATGTAGTCATGTTGCTGTTCAGCAGCCTGCCATGCTCTGCCAACCTTGGGACTTACAATGGACTTGAATTAATGACCTGCTGTGTGGTCTGGTAACATCAGGACTGTGTCATTTTATCTGTTGACCTTGGGCTTGTTAGCCTCAGCAGCCAGTAGCTGCCTGAGTGAAGAGATGCCCCTAGCTTCAGTGGGCTGGGAGCAAGAGGCAGAGCTGAAGCCCAAGGTCAAGAGGCTTTCACACAGCCCCAGAGCTTGGCACTTTGAACTTGGGCTTAAAGCTTCCAAACTGTAAGAATAAACTCCTGTTTGTTAAGGCCATCCCATTTGTGGTATATTCTTGTCAAAGTGGCACTAGGTAACCAAAACAGTGACCAACAAAAGACTCTGAAGCATAAAAATATACTATTAGGACAGGATAAAATTGTACGGGTAAGTACGAAGTTTTGTTCAGAAATATGATTGGTGGTATAGGAAGAAGAAGACCATTATTCTATACTGTAAATGATTCTAGGATAAGAGTCATCCCTTCATTTTCTTTTCTTTCCTTATTTCTTTCATGAACTAGTGCTAGAGACAAAAGTGGTATTTAATAAATGGTTCTTGAAACTGAATTATCATAATAAAGTAAGTTCCTGGTAAAGGAACTTACAATAATCAGTATATACACTTAAGATTTGATTATTTCATACTAAATTGTTACAACTTTTTTTTTTTTTCCTTGAATGGGAGGCAATTTCACAGTATCTAATCAAAATTTTGGAGTGCTTTGGTAGCATAGTGCCTAAAGCACTTGACTGTTAACCAGAAGGCTGGCGGTTCAAACCCACCAGCCACTCCTTGGAAGGAAGATGGGGCAATCTATTTCCATAGTCATACTGCCTCAGAAACCCAAGGAGGGGTCGCTATGAGTCAGGTCCAAATCAACAGCACATAACAACAACAACAAATCAAAATTTCAAAGAGCCCTGAAGGTGCAGTGGTTATAGCTGTGGTTCAAACCCACTAGCTGCTCTGTAGGAGAAAGATGTGGCTGGCTGCTTCTGTAAAGATTCACAGCCTTGGAAACCATATGGGGCGTCCTACTCTGTCCTACAGGGTCACTGTGTCAGAATTGACTCAATAGCAACAGAGAATCAAAAATTCAAACCTTTGTATCTTTTAACCCAGAAATTCAACTTCTAGAAATCTATCCTAAAGAAACATTACAAATATGCAAAGATGGATATATGTACAATGTAGCATTATTTCTACTAGTAGAAAAATTGTAGGTAGTTTAGATACTATCAACAGGTTAATTATGATGAGTCTACCATAAACATGTAGCCATTTAACAAAACAAGTTGATCTGTGTGCCTAGTATCAAATGATGTCTGTGATATATGTGCTACTGAATGAAAAAAGGAGAAAAGAATCCATTTGAGAATATGAAAAGCATGATCCCACTTCTGTTTAAATGCCCAAGCAAAAATAAAGCTGGAAATAAATATACATACGTGCTTTAAAACGGCTAAACTAGTTACTGGGACTTGGGGTGCAGGGGTAGAGCATTTGTAATGTTTAGTATATGCACTTTCCTATTCTTCTGAGTTTTTCACAAGCCTTAACTGCCTTTAGAATTAAAATTGTTTTTAAAATAAATTCACATTATTTAGAATTGGGTGGATAAAACTGGTGATTCAAACAAGTTTTTATGTTAAAATCAGATAGTTATGTTAAGGAATAAAACTTAACGACCATGTGAGAACAGACTTTCTTCAGTTACACAATATGTAAAACAATAATATACTGTTTTTGTGTTTTTTTAATGTGATGTATAAATGTTACAACACAGAACTTTAACTGGGCCACAATCTCCTGGCACTCCCCAAAACATCCTCTACAATAAAAGGTAACTACTGCACATAACAACAACAACAACAACAACAACAACTTTATCAAAAGAAATCAAGACTATAAGATTAGACAACTTAAAAAAAAAAAAAACTCAAAAATTTTTTCTCTCTCTCCTTCCCTCCGTCCCTCCCCCTTTAGAGGTTATTTGCTCTTCAACCAAAGACTACGGCAACTAATTTACTGGGGGGGGGGGGGGGGGCTACTTTTCATGGAAAACTGCTTAAACGACTTTGATTTCTACCATTTTTGTTTTGACAAAAGTATCTAAAGTCAACACGTTGATCTGAAGGAGATTCAACTCTCAGACTTCACATATTGATCGATTTCAATCAGTTTTGCTCAAAACAAAAAATAAACAAAACAAGCAAAACTAAAAACCATTTCACTCTCCAATGTCAGGTGCCAAATTTAAAGTAATGATTAAAATAAATCATGGCTTTAAAATGCAAAATGCTAGCAGCTTTTAAAAGAATGGAAGAAAAATACATCGGTTTTGACCTGTGAGAACTGTCACTTGAGCTCAAAGCAAATAAATACGCGTAGGCATGTGACTGCTAACCACAAGGCTGGCGGTTCAAACCTATCAGCCACTCTTCGGAAGGAAGGTTGGGCAATCTACTTCCGCAGTGATTCTGCCTCGGAAACCCAAAAAGGGGTCGCTAAGAGTCGGATCCGACTCCACGGCAATAGATTTAATAAGCCTATTATTAATAGTAATTACTATTAGCGACGTCGCTTAAGTAATGACAGAATTGGATTTCTTTCACCTGGGGGTAGTGAGTACTGGTATTTTGGCTTCTCTGAAAGTTTCTATTACAAGTGAGTCAATTCAAACAAGAGTATTTAACTTCCACAGATCGAGATTCAACAGGGATTACAAAACTGCAAAGGCCACATTTCTCAGGGGGCCGGGCGGAGAACGGCCGGATCTCCACTTCCGGACAGCAGGAGTGGAAGACAATTGCTCCAGATCGAGAACTAGGTACGAGCCCCTCTTTGTGTCTATAAAAACAGAAACAAGTGTTCTGTTCCACAGATAGCTCCAAACTCTCCCGAAGAGAGGAGGGCGGGCGGCAGGTGGTTAGCGGCCACCGCTCTGTTCCTTTGTCAACTGACACCGCCCCCCACCTTCCCCGCCCCCGAATCGGGGCTTCCGGCGCAAAGCGACAGGCGCCTCAGAGCTGGGGGGGGTGGTCCCAAAGGCTGCCAACGACTGCTATAGGGCTTCGGACCCACCCGAGAGGCTTGCTGGGCCGAGGTGAGCCGGGCCAGCGGGGAAAGGAGAGGAGAGCGCGCGCGGGGATGTGAGCGCGCGGCGGCTTTACCTTGGCCACCATTTTCTTCAGCTGGCTTTCCGACACCGCCATGACGGCCGCCTCACGACTCCTGTTCCCACAGGCAGAGGCTCAGGCGCTCCCGGGCTGCCTCAGGCCGCCCCACACAATCACACACCGAGTAACCAGCCCCCCACCCCCCCCGACTCTAGTAACAGGAAGTCGACGTCCTCGACAGCGCATCTGCTTCCTGTACGTCACTTCCGAGGCCGCCTTCCTGGAGGAGAGGGTGAAAGTGTTGTTAGACCCACGGTGAGGTAGGGGGGTCTGACCAGCGCCATCCGTTGTGTGCCAAACATGGCTATTAGGGTACTGTCCCAGTGGTGAGGGCAAGCCTGTTCGAAGGGTCTAAGCTTTGGCCCGGGACAGAAGTGACAGGGAATTCACAGTCGCCCTTAGGGTAAGGGGAGAGGCATAGGGAAGGGAAGAATTACGAAGGGTTTGCGTGTGAGCCTTAGTGACTGACTGACCAAGTGGGAGGGCATTGGACCCGCAGGAAACTGTTTGACCACTGACTTGTGATAGAAGTAGTCAAGGGCACTTAGTAGAGTGGGCCGTTTTTCCCCAATTCTGAAATTAGAGGCGTTCAGTACAGGATGCTTCGGGTCTCTGATAGATACTTCAGGGGAATTAAAAAATTAAACTTGAAAGCTCTATACTGCCTTTGCAAGGGCAAAGTGCAGCGCTTTGGTTTTACAGGAGCCAAGACAGCAATTTCTTTCGGAAGCCTGTCCTTTAAGTCACAACTTATGCCCAGACATAAATGATAGTACGGACCGCGTTTTATCCTGCACTGCAATCATTGACAACCAGAGTGTTCCTTATTAGCAAGGATGTCAAGACTTTGATTCATTGACTTCACACGTCACCAGGAAAGACCAGTTGCTGGAAAAGGGCATCATGATTGGTAGAGGGCCATTGAAAACAATTAGGTGGTCTGACATGAATAGGCACAACAATGAACTCAAACATACCAACTATAATAAAGATGGCACAGGACCAGGCAACATTTTGTTATATTATATATCACTTTGAGTCAGGGCTGTGTCCAACAACAATGTAATTTAGTAGCTTACCCACCATGAAAGTCAAAGTCCTTGAGAGCAGGGTGATTTTCAGATAGCCTTATATAGAACAAGAGTAGGAACTTTTTCTTAATTGAATTTCTACTACCCAGGAAAGTTCATGGTTACCTATGTTAGTCATCGTAATTCCACATCACTGTCAATTTTATAAGCACGCTAATCCATGGTACTGTAAAGATTGGGTTTTACGATGTCATGGACTGAATTGTATCCCCCCATAATATATGTCAACTTGGCTGGGCCATGATTCTCAGTGGTTTGGCAGTTATGTAATGATGTAATCATCCCCCATGATGTGATCTGACATGATCTGCCAATCAGTTGTGAGAGGATTAGGGTGGGGTGCAACACCCTTACTCAGGTGACAGCCCTAAGTTTCCCTGGGGTGGGGCCTGTATCACCTTTTATGTTACAAGAGATAAAAGGAGAGAGAAGCAAGCAGGGGGGGGGGGGGGGGCTGAGTACCACCAAGAGCAAGCTGGGTGCAAAGCACATCCTTTGGACCTGGGATCCCTGTGCTGAGAACTTTCTATACCCTGTGGAAGATGACGCCAAGGCACATGGAGATCTGCAAGGAATAGCAGGCTCACAGATGTTGAAAGGACCTTCCTCCAGAGCTGACAGAGAAAGCCTTCCCCTGAAACTGACACCCTTAACTCAGACTAAACTCAGACTAGCCTTCTAAACTGAGAAAATAAATTTGTTTGCTAAAGCTACCCACTTGTGGTATTTCTGTAATAGCAGCACTAGATAATTATGACAGGTGTGAAGTGTAATAGTTTGGACTTTACTATAGTGCTTATGAGGACAAGGCTGTGGTATCCATTCCTTTTTAAGTTAGCATTTGAGTGAAAGTCACATTCACAAAGAGGGTCCAGTTGAAAGCATATGGAAGCATCATTATAAACTGTTGCCAACATACACAAAATAAAATTATCCCAAAAGGTATCATTATTTTTGGATATGGACATCATATGCTAAACATACAGCCTGCGTCAAAACAACCCACACGTGAATCTTTATCCTTCTCCTGCATCTAGTGTTTCATGTCACCTAAAAGCAATGTGGTTTTCAAACTGTTCTTAAAGCCACAGCTTTCTCAGGAGTACTTTCAATTAGAGCCACTCTGCTTTTATGAATTGAGGAGGGGCATGGGGGGATTCCAGGTTTAAAGAGTTCTCAAAGTTTTCTTCCTAAAATAAAAAAAAAAAATCCTGACAAAATCCAGTCTCGTTTTGCATTGAAACTACTAGAAATAATATCCTGAGTACTGTATGAATTACATGAAAGAATCTCCTCAACATGAACAAATTTCTGTCCACTTAATAAATTAGGCATCACCTGGTGATTTTGAAGTCAAAGTTTGTTTTATTCATTATTCTTCATACTTAATAAGGAAAACTACAATGTAAATAGGAATGTAACAGATTTATCTTCTGCTACAGTATCAGAGAAGCACTAAAAAATCATAAGAGGCATCACATGATTTTAGAAAAATAAAGTTAACAGAAGCATCATGAATGACAAATTATCACTAAATCTTTGTGGAGTGGTGGTGGTGGTACTCTTTGACTTAAAAAAAGGTGCCTTACAACATGTTTGCTAATGGTCAACACCCAAAGAAATACAGAGAATTCTATACTGTGAGCTTCCAGAAGGCCAAGAGTATATTAAACATCTTTATAAATAATCAAATTGTAACACAGTACTTGGAACAACAGAAGGTACTCAATAAGTATTTGTTGTACTGACATGATCCTTTTAAAATCAGTGAATTCTTTGTGATTCATCTATTATACAATATATGTTTATTGTTCAAGAGCATCCTAAAATATTAGAAAAAGCTCATTTAAAAAACTCAAGAAATGGTTGATTCAACTTTACTTTCTGATTTCACACAAATGGACAGTGAAGATATATTGCTAGATTAAAACCAAAATGATTTACCTGTGTAGTAAAATTATGTGTAACTAATGCTCATCTTCAAAAGCATAAGATTTTTATCCTAGTCAATTTTGGTAGAAATCTTTGCAAGTATATTCAATATTCTTCTACTTTCTTAAACGCATGATACTAAATATAATGTAACCTTTTCTTTATGATGTAAGCTCATCATTATAAACACCAATATTATACTGAATCAACATTGGTTTGATTGTTTCCTCTCTATCAGATGTGTCTTCCCTTAAATATCATCTGGCTTCTTTCTCCCTGAAGAGTTTTGGATTTTGCTATTCTAGGCTTTCAAAGCACTTTGGACTTCTTCAAGTACTTATTACATTTGCAGTTGTATATTTATTTATAAGATTATTTGATTACTCTGTCTCCCATACTAGAATGTAAGGCCATGACATCTTGTACCTTGTCCAGGTGTCCTTACCAAGTACCTGCAGTGCCTACTATGGTGCCTGGTATATAGTAGGCCCTCAATCAATATGAGCTGAGTGACTAAATAAATAAATGCCTATCTTAGTGCATAACTCCCTTGCTATTTTCCAAGTCTGGGAAACCAGGGAATCAATCTTTCCAAAAACTACGTTAAAAAAAAAAAAAAGCCAACCACCATATGAGAATGAAAACAATTCTTCCATAGTACAGACCTCAGCTTTATCTTGTGATAACTGTTCTGGCTGTTAGGACTTCTCCCTCCTCTCAAAAACCAAAACCAAACTCATTGCCGTGGAGTTGCTTCCAACTCATAGTGACTCCTCCTTGGGTTTTCGAGGCAGTATCTCTATGGAAATAAATTGCCCAATTTACCTTCCGAGGAGTTGCTGGTGGGTTTGAACTGCCAGCCTTCGGTTAGCAGTCAAATACCTTAGGCATTACACCACAAGAACTCCCTTCCTAGTGCCTAGAAAAAGTACAGGTGGTAAGGATAAGTGACACTCAATAGTCATGAGATCTGGGGCACTGAAACCTCAATTTCCTCCTCTACAAAATGAGGATGATTAATAGTCCTGACACCTCATTGGGTTATTAAGGACTCAGTAAAATAAAAATATAAAGTGCTCATGACACTGCATGGTATATAAGTAGTGTTGATGTTAGCTGTTACTATTAGTTGCCTGTTACAATAGTAATAATATGCTATCTCCCATATATGAAGATATTGCTATTAACCCATCCCTGAAGGGTATGGACTCTCAATCATTTCTTCAGAATGATTAAAGGATTTGCTCAGACCCATCAGTCCATTCAGTCTCTCTCCTCTATGAAACTAATGGTTTTTATGAACACTTCATATTTTAACTTTATACTAAACTGTTTGGTTTTCATTTATAACCTATTTCCATTAAAAACACACCTTTCTCTATAGTTCAACTAATATCACAGTTTATGAGATGTTGGAAATCTTATATACCCAAAGAAAAGATCATAGAAAAATTTCAGAAATGACAACCTCACTGGAAATTAAAGTATACTTGGTCTTTATATATTCAGAAACTTCACTTTCTCTTTCACTATTTTAAATGCATGTAAAATTATTTTCTATTTTTGGTATCTAATTAATTGTCGTTGTTATGTGCCCTTCAGTCAGATCTGACTCATAGTGACCCCTCCTTGGGTTTCTGAGGCAGTATCACTACGAAGTAGATTGCCCAATCTTCCTTCTGAGGAGTGGCTGGTGGGTCTGAACTGCCAGTCTTCTGGTTAGCAGTCAAGTGCCTTAGGCACTATGCTACCAGAGCTCCTAATTAATTTAGAAGAAGAAAATAAAATGCTTTACCAGAAGAAACATTCACATCTATGCATGTACATCTACGGACTTTGTAAATCCATACCGGGCCTTTTGCTGTTTATGTTTTTAAGATAAAAGCCAAAGAATAATTTTCTTTAAAAAATGTTTCACTTTCAAAATACTCCCAATGTGCTTCTAGTTTAGGGTACACAATTTAAAATAACGCATATTGCAGATAAGTGTTTATCGCTGCTATAGGTTTAAAGATGGCATACAGATCTTGAAAACTCCAAAGAAAATTAGTGTTTTTTTCCATCTCCTATCTAACTCTACGGATTCAAATTACAAAACTAACTAAGAAGTCATCTATCTTAACCAAGCAGTTTGTAAGAATAACTAATAAGACAGAGAAGTTTTCAACTTCTTTTTTGTTGGCAAAACCAGATGACCTTTCCTTTTGGGTAACTCCATGCTTTAGGATCAAAGTTTTAACTGCTGTTGGAGACCATGGATTGATGAGGCACTGCTTTGGAGTTTCTCAGTCACTATATCTTCTTTCACTGTGGTTTTGATGACTTCAGATACCCCATTGTTTCCAAGGATACAAGGCAAACTTAAAAATACTTCATTATTTATATCATAATATCCCTGCAATGAAAAATAAAGGTAATAGTAGAGCTGAATCACTGCCCCCCCAAAAAAAAATAATATCACACATATACATACTTTCTTACTTTTCTAGTACTAGTATAAAGTTGAACATAAAAGTTTTTTTCTTTGGTTCCATTGTTTTCTAAATTCAAAATATTGTTTCAGACACTTTTTGAGAGACAGAAAGGACTTGGTCAAAGACATTCTCTTTGTGAGGAGGTAAGCTGACACCCACAACATGGATAGCAGGTTGAGGGCTAAGAAAAAAGACAGTGTGGATTCCTTGAGTGGAGGGAGGGTACAGCAGGGGCTCTGGGTGGAGTCAAACATAGTACCTGTTTAATTTAAGTTTTCCTTTCTGTGTTTTATTTCCTCCTAGTATTCCTAAGTCTTCAAGAAAGTTTGATTAAGCATTTGTGCCTCACCTTACCTGGGCTTTGTTGTTCTTGTTGTTGTGGGCTGTTGAGTCGATTCTGACTCACAATGACTCTATAGGGCAGAGTAGACCACAGGGTTTCCTAGGCTGCCATCTTTACAGAAGCAGATCGCCAGGTCTTTTTTCCCATGGAGCCATGGTGAGTTTGAACTGCTGACCTTTCAGGTAGTAGTTAAGTACTTAACCATTACCTATACGTTGCCTGTACTTTGATATCTGGGGTAAAGTGGTAAGGGAAAAGTGTGAACTGGAGGCCAGTTGGCTGGCTGCAGAGACAAATGATAACCATAAGTCGTTTATAAGTACTTCTTGGGTATTTTCCAAATTTATATGAGGAAGATTGGGCAATCTACTTCCATAGAGATTATACCACTTCGGAAACCCAAGGAGGGGTCACTATGAGTTGGAATCGATTCGACAGCAGTGAGTATTTTTTTTTTTTTTTAAGAGGTAGGGTGGGGGGAGCATGGTGTAAGTCTAGACTTCCCATAGCCAGGCAAGACAGGGTTTAGACTATACTGCCTCCTCCATGTGTTACCCTAAAAGCCAGTAACATTGAAGACACAAATTTAGTGTGAAGAGAAATTTTGCTGGTTTTATATTAACAATATGAAACTTTAAAAATATGATGAGAGAATGAGAACAGCAATTACCTTTGCTAAAACTGACACAGAATGCACTTTCTTTTTATTGTTCACAATACTGTCAACCAGGTCAGCTACTGACAGTCCAACAGACCAGGATCTTTGACCTTTCACCCGTAACAGTTCCATGGCTCTAGGTACAAAAAAAAAAAAAAGAAAGAAAGAAAGAAACTTAGAAAATGCCCAGAAAATGCCCAGTTAGCTTTATATTTTGCTTAATTAATTATCATTAGGTATTAATTAGGTATTTTTTACACCAAAAAAATAAGAGTTATACAGCAATTGTTAGGAAAGTCTACAGATAATCTAATGATTATTTATGCTTTTCTCTAAATATGAATTAAAACAATATCAGTTTTGCCTATCAAAACTGGCAATGATATCTGTGAAAAGACAGATAAAAAATTTTGGAGAAGTTATAGGAAACAGGCATTTCCTTAACTGCTACTGAGAGTGTTAAGTGACAGAACCTTTTAAGAGGAAGCAATGTGTGATACAGAAATTCCTTGTCTAGGAATTTTCCCTACAGCAGTATGCTCCAGTGTGCAAAGATATACATATAAGCTTCTATGCTAGAGCCTAGTTTGGGAGAGCAAAAATTTGGAAACAATCCATTAAAAGGGAATGGTTAACTAAACCATTACCAAATGTAAAGCCACATAGCTGTTGAAAAAAATAAGGCACATTCATATCTACAACATGGGAAGATGTCCAAGATTTACCTTAAGAAAATAAAGTTAAGTTGTAAGGTAGTTTCAGCATAACCCTATTAATTATAAAACATAATAATGATAATGTTTTGTGGGGAAAAAAAACTGGACAAGAAGACACTACACTGTTAGCAGTGATTGTCTCTGGAGGATGGGCGTACCCCAGAGTTTCACTTTCTACTTATTATGTATTTATAGCATTTGAAGCTTTATAATAAACATTGCTTTTGTAAATAATAAAAAGTTGGTGTAAATTAAATGAACAATGCTTGAGTTTCTTTCTTTTAAAAACTGTGAATGCTGGATTATACAGAAAATCAGACTAGAATGGATTATGCCACACAGTCCTCTTCCCAATAAAAAAGAGAACATTCTTTCCAGTTCTTATATTCTAAAAACCATACGCTAAGGTGTTTAAAAAAACTAACAATCTCCACTACTCAGACTGCAGGAAAATCTGTTATTAGTTATGATGGAACAACAAATAGCATGAAAATATAGTGTGTAATGTTCAATCTATGAGGCACAGATGACTGGAGGGCCTCAGAATAAAGGCAAAAGATCCAAGGATCTATGTATACACTTTGTTTTAGCCTGAACATATAATAGGGCTTATTCATTCATATTAGACTGATTTTCAAATATATTTATGTGTGATTATTAAACATTGATTTTTAAATGGTATAGACAATTTCTCTATTACATTAAGAAAATGCAATGTTTTTAGATGTTTAGATATATCATTTCTGACAAGTAAGGAATTTGCTCTATCTTGTAAATGTCACTAGTATATCTAAAATAAAGTTTGCAAAGCGCTCTTAGATCTACCTTCAGATAGGAAATCAAAGAATTTAAAGCATTGCTCTCTTGAGCTTTTGTCCATACTAGTTAGGTTTGTTTACATAAACCTGGTAAGTACATGCTATGTAAATAGCTGTTATGTTAGCTATGAAGTTCATAGTTTTTAGTTGGATAAATGCAAATCTGGACTCAGTATTACCTGTTGGAAAGCTGCACCTTAGAGTTCTGACTCATTGCTTCTTTTTGGCCACTCCATGTGGGCACTAAAAATTAAATGAAAAATTTTATTTTGGCAATGACTGCTTTAGGAATAAATGTCTTTGGCAGTCAAAAGGTACTCATATTAAACTTGATATAAAAGATTTTCCTTCTGCTAACCAAAAGGTTAGCAGTTCAAACCCACTAGCCACTGTGTGGAAGGAAGACTAGGCAATCTACTTCCATAAGGACTTACCACCTTGGAAACTCAATGGGGTCACTATGAGTCGATATCGACTGGATGGCAGTGAATTGTTTGTTTGTTTGAGCAACAGTTACATTTTTCCACTGATGGCAATGAATGTGCTACAGTGACTGCCTGGCCAGCCTCCCTCCCTATTCTCGCTCATCAAACCAGTTCTACAAGAGCAGGCTGTGTGTAACAGGCTCTCAAGTGTTGCAAGCGCTTGGCACTTGTTCTTCTGGGAACCAAAGTAATTATTTTCACCAAGTATGGAATAATCTGGTCACCAATTTTGGGCCAGAATTTCCACAGCCCTAAGAAGCAGGAGCCTGTTTTCTAACGTCTTTTGGCTTACCCACTTCCACCCACTCATACCATCATAAAAACAATCCAGTAATTCAAAGTTGTGCACATGAACTGGGTATTTATACCATACTTGAATATTATATAAGAATTGCCAATAACATTTTGAAACCTTTCAAATACTCATTTGCTTCTCATCTGTGTGAAGACACTCTTCAGTACAAATCTGTATTTGGACAGGCAAAAATACATTCAAATATATAAGAATATTTTATGTTTAAAATACAAGTTTGCTAATAATCCACATTCACTTAGAAACACTTAGTAACAGCTTCTGCAACAAAGGACACCATGTATAGCCAGATGCCACCTTTCCTCAAACTAAACATAAGCTTCTGGAAGGCAGGACCCATGTGCTGTTTCTTCCTGTGTATGCTCCCATACACTTTCTTTAGCATAGTGTTGGGTACACGTGAGATAATACAGAACTGGCCTTGCACACAATCCATACTTTATTTCATAACAGAAAGAAAAACATATGTTATAACAGTTAAGTTGAAAAACATAGAAACGTTTTAAAAGTTTTTATGTATAGAAGTAAAACCAAAAATCATTCTATGAAAAATAAAAATACATGTGGACAGAAATTAAAGGATTTTTTTAAAGTTTTACTTGGGTAGGAAGATTATGAACATGAATATTTTCTTTTAAAAATTTGGAAAATTATTAGTACATTCACAATACATTTAAAAAATTGGGGAAAATGATTGCTAAATGAAATACAAGGTACTCTGGTGGCACAGTGGTTAAAGTATTCAGCTTCTAACCAACAGATGGGCCATTCAAACCCACCAGCTACTCTACGGGAGAAAGATGAGGCAGTTTGCTTCCATAAAGATTTACACTCTTGGAAACTCTACAGGATGGTTCTACTCTGTTCTATAGGGTCACTATGAGTTTGAATTGATTCGACGATGATGGGTTTTAAATGAAATATATCATTTTTACCTTGTAAAGAGGAATTTAAGTGGAAAGGTGAGTTCAAGAAAAGACTCACAGAAGATACACACACCAAAAAAATATATCTGAAAATTGTATTACTGGCATTTGGTTTATATATGTATATATCACATTCTTTATCTTTTCTGAGTCCTGACTCTTTTCAAATTTGCTGAGACACAATCATTAACATTTTTAAATAAAGTTAGATGGACCTATTTGTTTCATGTTCTGCTTGCTTATGGTCCAGTCCTCAGACCTCCTAACTGTGTATGTATTCTAGTTTAAGCAGCCCTTTCAAATATTAAATCTAATTAATTCTGATCTTTTTGATTTTACTCTTCAAGAACAGTAATCCTGTGGCCCAAAAAATTTTAATGAAAAATGACTGTGGGATAGGTCTTATCCATTATATACAACACCTACCCCTTAAGTAAAATTGATGCTCAAAACATGATCTTAACACTCTGTTCTGAGGATGACTCCTTGGATTCCTGAAACACCATTCAAAAACGTTCTCTAAAGTTTACATATGATTTTGGTATCACAGCTGAAAGAGCAGCTCCAAAGAATATGCTCTGCTCACCATTTAATTTGATGTGGCATGATATGAATGACCTTTGGTCATAACAAGGCGGTGTCACAGAAGCATTTGTTCATTTCTAAAACATATCATTTACTGAGGCCTACTATAGGCCATTATAAACACAAGGAGCTTAATGTCTAAGAGGTTTGTGAACAAATAAGTTCATATACAATTATAACACAGTGTGATTATTAGTTATAATAGAGGCATGCACTTACTTAAGCTGGAGAATTAGGAAAGGCTTCCTGGGAGAGGCAGCATGCAAGCCCAGTCTTGAAGAGTAAGCAGGAGTTAGCCAAGTGAATGAGGGTTCAGGGTAAGGAAGCAGCAGGTACCAAGGCAAAGAGGCATGAGAATGCATGAACCTTTCAGGAAACTGGAAGTTGACCATGTGACTAACATAGAGTGTCTGGCAGAATGGCATAAGATGAAACTGGGAAGGGAAGCAGGAAATAGATCCTAAAGGGTCTTGCATGTTACGTGATTCCTCCCCCCAGGCTGTAACAGTCATTTGTCTCTGCAATACTCTAGGAGAATATTTTTTTTTTTGTCTTTTTTTTTTTTTCTATTAGGATTTGGGTGAAGATTTACAGAGTAAATTCACTTTTCATACAGCAGTTCCCATACACCTTGTCTCATGTCATTGACCAAAATTTACAATGC